TATTAAAACAATACTAAAACAATACTAAACTATGACAATTTTATTACACATTTCAGATCTCGTTAATTTTTTATAACAAATTTTGATTTCATAGATCTAAAGTATCCTTAAAAGATCCTTCTAAGTTTTCCATGTTAAAGCGTTATTTCGCAAAATCTAAGACATCCCTAAAAAATCCTTCTAAGCCCCTTTTCTCAGCTTTCTCTATCAAAGCCTTATTTAATAAATCTAACGCATCCCTAAAAAGAAATCCTTCTGAAGCCCCTCTCAGTTTTCTCTATCAAAACATTATTATTTCGTAAAATCTAAGGTACCCCTAAAAGATCCATCTCCTGATGTGGTAATAATGAGGCATCCCTTTTTAAGGCATCCTACCATCCTACTTTCAGCCTTATCGGGGGGCCTTATGCTTCATGAGGATGGCCCAAACAATTTTTTGCTCGGGAATATCATCGCTGTCTAGCTACACCTGCGAGCGCGAGGAATCTTCCGCGTCTCGCGAAAAAAATATTCTCCGCGCCGCGCTCCCCCCTGCCAGCCCCCTCTCTACCTCACCTTCAAACATGGGGCGCGAAGCAGCAGCGAGATACACGCACGCAACGAGAGGCAGCCTCGTTTCTCGATCTTACCGCCGCGCCGCCTCGCGTGCATCTGCGGTCGACTTCGGCCGCTGATAAATTGCGACCGGCGAGAGTGTAGAAATTGCATACGCCGTTGCAACGCGCGCGTCCCCGGTGTGCAGTAATCGCTCTGCTGGTGACTCGGACGTGTGTGTGCGCGCGCGCGCGCGCGATCCTCGTAGGTAAAGATAAGAAGAAAGAGAGCCGGAGAGGGTTAGCGAAGGAGAAAGTACCGGTGATACGAATGTCCAGGCCGAGAAATCCTCTCCGGACGGGACTCGTTAGTCCTTCCATGGCGGACTTACGGCACCCAGGACTCGCCACCACCTCGGCCACTCATCATGGCTTCGGAACGAAACGTAGCGGCGAGACAAGGCCGTTAGTTTCCTTCCGCTCAAATTACCGCCGGCCGGCCGTTGGTCTTCTGGCTGAGAAGAATCAACGCTCGCGAGAATTTCGGACGCGAGAGCGACGATTGAATCGCCGCGAAGAGGAGCGAATCGCGCGAATCAACGGTCGATCCGGATAATCGAGCGGTCACGATAAGACACGCGCGCTTGCTGCGGCGGAACGAGCCAACGAGGAAAAGAAGCGGAGTACTTCTCTAATGATTTAGCAGCGCGTATATCTATTCGTCAGCAATCGCTGGTAGCGTGATTTATGTGACACCGCCGGCCGACGTCACCGCGCTCTTTCTCTCTCTCTCTCTCTCTCTCTCTCTCTCTCTCTCTCTCTCTCTCTCTCTCTCCGCACGCCCAAGTTTCTTCCGACATTTACGCGCCGGGAAGTCGCGCGTTCGTCGAGAGTCGGCGGGATAATCGATCGTTCCGAAGGGACCGCAAGCGGGGCACCGCGAGAGTGCCGCGAGACGAATTCGCGCGCTGTCACTCGATCGACCGCGATGCGAAAGCCCCGTTAGTTCGTTAGCCGTTGTTGTTATCCGAGCTAACGGAAGACACGGAGTCTTGACGCGACTCTCGGCTCTCCGACATCCGAGAACAACCCCTCGGTGCGTCGTCTTCTCGAGCGAGCGTCGGCAGAGGGAAGGACAGGGAGAGAAGGGTGAGGACAGCACACAAGATGGCTGGCGGCGCACACGCATCCGGCGCGGATAACGGCGGAGAATCCGGGGGGCGAATTCGAGCGAGAAAGGAGGAGCCGGGCTGCCGTCGGAGATTTGATTTATATGTTAATCGCCAGACAGAGCAGTCGCTGCCGATGTCGGCAAGTGCGCAGCCTGGCGCAGCACTCTTTTGCCCCTCGTAACAATCCTCGAAAGATCGCGTATAAGTAGACACCGGCTATATGGCCCGAGGCAATATTGGTAGATACGACGCGGGAAAGTCCGAGCTTTAATGACCGGTCGGATTTCGGAGACCGTCGGGAGCATAAATAAATATTTTCCCTCCTCGGGAAGCTAATACATATTTTTCAGCCTGGCGGGAACACGCGTGGCTACGCGGGGGAGTGTTGAGCGAACGTGCTTTCCATTGTTCCAGTGCAGTGCAGTGTGCGGAATTTTAAAGGAGACCAGCGAGCGCGAGGTTCCGAAGAAAAGAGAATTCGTCTCGCGCTACGATATTGAGAGCGCAAAATTTATATTTCGTTATTTGTCGGCTACATTGTTTTTTTCCGCGAGCTGTTGACGAGATCGTATTCGCTAATATTTGCGTCGTATCGGTATCAGCGAGATCTCATACTTTCTCGTTAGACAAGCGGCATACACAGATAAACGACTAACGAAATTTTCTGTCGAACGAGAGATGGATAGATACGAAAATAATTCATTTCCAACTCAATGGACCCATGCAGTTATTAGATTTTCATTAGCCGATGTATTGAAAACCGCTGCGATCTGCGCGTTCAAATTTCGAACGCCCGTCGAAATAGATGCGAAAGATATACTAGACGAGCTGAATTTTAATTGAAAAATTTCTCCATCGCAGTTTCCAATTAATTAACCACGGATCAATAAATACGCGCGGAATTTAGCTAACGAGATCTATGAAAGCGGAACGATTTTCTTGAATGCAACGATTTCCTCGCCGTAACATTCACAAACTCGGTGCGCATATACGCACCGAGATGTTTTGAGAGAATAAAAAACGGTAAGCAAAACAATACGTCTTATCGAGAAACGAAAACGATTTTAATCTCAGCTACCTTTGTGGCTTACATATTATCGTTTTGCGACGAAAATACAAAACGTTATTGGTCTCTTTTTGCATTTACGAGACAAATGCGTTTTATTACTTTCATAAACAATCTCTTAATGCCCTGTGTCTGAGCCGCATCCTAATATTGCAACTTCTCAAACCGCTCATTATCAAAGAATAATCAAGAATCATTAATTAATGAGAAAAAATTTTTTAAATCAATAATTGAGTACTAATGAAGATTTAAGCGCGCTTATTTGAAGGCACTTATAAATAGCAACAATGTCATAAAAGCACCGAGGCAAAAAACTTTCCGCTTGTTTCTCAATTTCGGGACGAGTCCCGATTCATTACGCAAGATATATCGAAGCCATCGTATCGCCAAAAACAGCAATTTACATCAAGAATCGAAAATAATAATATAAGGAAAAAGGCAAAGACCGCATGATAGTTAATCGCACATTTCGTGAGAAATATTCCGAATATGTAGAGAATAAATAAGATATCAAAATGCACTGGGATTTGTAATGAAGTCCCATGAAAACATATTCCAACAACGTCCCAAGATATGAGGATGTGTATTAGAACTGCATGTTCTAATATCAGTCAGGAAACGATAAGGAGTGCAAGAGAATCATTTATTGGCCGTATACAAGAATGTATTGAGGTCGATAGATATCATTCTGAGCATTTGTTGAGATAAATTTTTTCTATTAAACCTTTTATCGTAAGGATTCCATCGTTTATAACATTTCCAATTATTTTTTGATTTTCCATGCTCAAGGTCACAAATGTGTAATAGATCATCGGAAAGGTCTTCACCTCTACTATCACGCCATGATAAAAAAAACATCTAGTCCCATTTTAAAAAAACGATATATCTTGCGTAATGACTAGAGACTCGTCGGGAATGTATGACCTTGAAAAAATAAGCGAGATATTCAAGGTGGTCAAATTAGGTGGGACACCCCGTATACGCCAGCAGAATATATAAAATATCGCACTCTGAGTATCAACAACAATGCAAAACTGTTGTTCTTTTCGTTGGGTAGCAATACACAGTTTACAAACATGCACTAGGTAAAATGAAATTTTGGGAATGCTGGAATTCAACACTCACCAATTCGCGGTGCAATTTATCGGTGTCCATCCAAAGGTCCATCCACGTCCAACCAGACCCGGCGACGAACTTGGTTCTTGCATTCGGAAGTCGTCATCGTACACGTCCTGCGTCGTCTCACGTAGATTGCACTTCACTTTACTTCACTTCGCTTCACTTCATTTTACGTTATATCAAGAGGTAGTATCTCGCTTCAAGCGAGAATACCTCGCGGAACTCGTGACATGATAAATATTCACGTTTCAGCGACGTTCAATGGATTAACGGCGACATCGATGAGAACTTTCGATCTATCTCAGAACGGCTTTTACGATTTCAATTAACGGAAGACGAAATTTTTCGTAATTTTTTTCGATAAATGTCTATCAGAATGCGACAAATTTCGGCACTCTGCGAACACATTCGCGACTCGATGAGGTCCATCATTTCTGGCAAGTCCTACTCGTTTTTCGTTTACGTGCTCGTGATTCGCGAGTAAAAAGTCACGAACCGAGAACCGATCGCGCCGTTTGCGAAATTCATATAAGCACTTTACGCGGATGAAATAATCGTAAAAAAAAATGGCGCGATGTCACGCACGATGGCTTCGCGATATCTCCTGCGAAGACAACTGCACAATTTTGCTCGTGAAGACAACTCCGCAATCTTGCTGCGAAAACTACTCCGCAATATTCGTGCGAGGTTTACTTTCATAATAATTATACGAATTTAAGTCAACGATTTCTGTAAAGAACGCAGACGCGACGCGTAAACAAACAAAGAACTTTTACTTACATTCGTGACTTACATTTTCTTTACGAAGTGTACTTTATGCCGATAGCGGTGTTATATCTCGCGCGCGATATTATAAAAAAATGAAAAGCTGACGATCGTGCGACCATTGTGAAATCAATGCGACCGAATTATCTGACGAGTAAAATAATTACATGTAAAATCGTGACGACGCTAACTGCTAATTTCGCAATGTTTCGCGATCGAAATAATCCAATTCGATTAATGAAAATTAAAAACCGAATATCGCGACCGAATCACATCAAATTATCACGAGCAAGATAATTGTAAATTGTACGTTATATTAACGTACTTTGCGATACTTTTTTAGACTATATTCTGCTGCCACATTCTGCTACAAAGTCCTAAACAGAAAAAGCAAAAAAAAAGATTTGATCAGTCAAATTCTGCGAGTCCATTTAACAAGTGAGTGCGTATAAATATGCAAATGTATATTGTTCTTCGCGATCGTAGTTCAAATAATTCATATGAATATATCCCGACATTTGATAACAAAGGATAACAAAAGGACAAGTATCGTAAAATTGTGAAACTGGCCTTCGAGCCTACCTTACTCGGCCCGAACCGGCGCACCTCCGCTCCGCCGAAATTCCGTGCGCTCGTCTGCATCGCTGGGTCAAATGAGGTTAGGATTGACCGTAAACTTCGATCAAAGATCTGAAACAAAAAGTGGTCATCCCTGATTAAAGTAACAAGGCGGCTACTGGACTTGATTAAATGAGCAATATACAGATTTCGATAGTACGTAGTATTTTTCTTCAGTTTCTATACGAACGAAATTTGATACTTACTTTGGCACTTCAAGCGCGATGATATGCAATGTTGTCACTGCTCCCAGTAAGTCGTCCTCAACGTTCACGGCGCGCGAAGAAATACTGAATCCCTTCACACGAACACTGATGTATTTATATAACTCCGTCTAATATCGAAAAGTGTCCTTCCGTCGCCCGACGTGTTTACTCGTGCTTGCGCTAAAGACTGTTATGGCGACGCTCGATCGAGAATGTAGATTTCCCCTTCTCTGAAGGTTACGCATGACCGGCGAAGAATAACAACATACACATTTCCTAGAATCCTCTATAGGCATATATCGCTGTACAAGATGCCTCAAATAAATGTAATATATATGTGTGTATGTGTGTAGTCTCTCATTTTAACCCTTTAACTGCTACAGTCGAGATAACTGGAGTGTGGAAAAAATTGGCGGCCTTGCTGCGATCGAGTTTACTCGATTTCGACTTTCAATGTGTGTGGTATTGCGTGTGGTATTTTTTTTTAATTTAAAAATGTGAATTTGTGAAAATCTGGAGCATCAGCAAATTATAAAATATTTATAATTGTAAAAATAACTCAGCAAAGAGGGTCATACTGGTCATTTAATATCTCAAAAGTTAAAGGATTAATTATATATCTAATATTTTAATGATACGTTCCATTTCATTCTCTCCATCTATCTGTCTGTCTCTCTTTCTCTGGTGCGCGAAATCTACGCGATATTATCGACACTGGTTTACTTTTCGTTCGAATAATGAATCAATTAGTGCTTTCCAATGATATCTCGAATCACATTCTGATGGTATATATATATATATATATATATCTCGACTTTCGACAGCGTGGGGTTAAGAGAAATATAATTATGAAACTTACTTTCGAGTTTACCGTGCTCGTGTTCTCTAACATTAGCGTCCGCTGAAATTGCGACCTCCTTCGTGATTGGCTTAAATTAGGTTAAGTTTAGTCGCGAGCTTTACTCGACGATCTGGCAAGAGGAAAATAATGCTCACCGATTAATTGTAATAAAAGACGGTTACTCGGTATGGACTAATAAAGAATATAAAAGATTCCACAGATTATTTCTTTTTAATGTTGATGCTAGCAAAACGTGATGCTTATCCCGCTGAGAATACCGCCATCCGATGTTCTTGTTGCTAGCGATACATCTTCCTCAACGATTATGACACAAATATACGAATAAATATTGACTTTGCTTATGTTAACGTTAAAATACGTTGAATAAAACCGAAAAGATCTGTATGAAATCTGTATGAACGTTACCTGGCGTGCTGCGTTTACTCGCCCGCATCAAGTATCGGTGCGTACAGAAGCGCAATTATCGCACTGCGATATATCGATTTTGTGATATCGATTCGAAATCGCATGCCGCTCTAAATCGCATTCGCCGACGCAGAAAGTCGCATGCATTTTAAAATTACATACGATTGAACGACGAGTTAGCGAGTTATGAAATCGCGCCCAATTGAACGTCGCAATTTCGACATGAAATCGCGCGCATTTTAAAATCACGTTTACAAAATTATGACGCGGCATATCAATTTCATAGATCGCTCTACCGTTACGTGGGCCGTACGTGTGTTTCGCTGCTAACGCTCGAGCGTTTGACGCGCTGAAAGCTATCGGTTTTGGCCGCCGTTATATAACAGGTTTAGATTGATTTATTATTATTATTATTATTGTTTAATTATATTTTTATACCCAGGATGTCCCAGAACTATCGTACGTTATTTACTTGTGTCAACTGTGTTGTGTTCTATTAACTATTCTCTGCGGCCGTTTTATTCGACTTGCTCACCGTTCTACGTCCCAGCTTTCGAGCTTTCGCAAAAAAACATTGAAATGTCTCGAACGTATCGTAACATTTTCCTTTTGCCTCACGATATTATCGGAGTTCTACGGAGCAAGAATAGTTTCTGTGCCGTTCCCTTACGCGACGTTCCTCCGTAACGAAACTTCCGTGCATTACGCGGCAGCCGAGCGAGCTACGCTGCGTCGGCGCGAGATAAGAATTTTTCGCCAGATCTGAGAAACACGACTCCGGTATAAAAAGCGCGGTGAGTGTACTCAATCTCTATGTACCAGCGAGATGTTGCAAAGCTTCGTTTCCTGCTTTCTCCTCGCCGGATGTATCAGTGAGTAAAAGAGAGATCGATGATACATACTTGTCTGTCGCGATAACGTTATTCGGTCGGTCGGTCGGGGGGGGGGGGGGGGGAATGCGTTCGCACAGTTATTATTTAACCAACGATTTGTATCTCCGCAAGCCGATATAAATTTTTCTCCCTCGTGCGTGACGCGAACAAACGAAATATTTATGTAGCGTTTAGCCTCACGATGAGTGACGGCGCGCGATACTAAACACAGCGGCGAATCAGCACGATTTACCGACCAGAACTTTTCCCACCGTGCCTTTTATTATCCTTAGCGCGAGCCACTTCGGGGAGGAAAGTTTAAAGGCTACTGAGAAGTGCGCGTAATAAAGTCGAGCCGAATCCTCGCGTGATTTACGAATCCGCCGCATTCCCGGAGCAACTTTTTTGCTGAAGCGACCGAAGACAAATTCTACCGTCAGATTTAATATCGCAGCGTCCTTCGTGGAGCGAGCGGATTCTCTTTTGGACCCTCGCATCGTGGGAGGTACGACAGCTGACATAAAGCAACATCCTTATCAATTGAGCCTGCAGCAAATGATAGCGAGCCTCCGACGATCTTACCATATTTGCGGCGCTTCCATTATCAGTGAGAAATGGGCTGTCACTGCGGCTCATTGCGTAAGGTACGCGTTTCTCTCTCTCTCTCTCTCTCTCTCTCTCTCTCTCTCTCTCTCTCTCTCTCTCTCTCTCTCTCTCTCTCTCTCCCTCCCTCTCTCTCCCTCTCTCTCCCTCTCTCTCTCTCTCTCTCTCTCTCTCTCTCTCTCTCTCCCTCTCTCTCTCTCTCTCTCTCTCTCTCTCTCTCTCTCTCTCTCTCCCTCTCTCTCTCTCTCTCTCTCTCTCTCTCCCTCTCTCTCTCTCTCTTCGACGTGCGTTATCTCGCTCGTTGAATCTTGCTCGCGAGGTCGACCGCGTATATTTCGACAGACTTGTCTAATTGGGAGCGCCGCGGATTATTGTAATTCATACCGGAATCTCTCGAGATCTTCAAGAAATCTTCCAGGTGACAAGTTTTCCTCTTATCTCCGAAACGTCTGGCGTGAGTCTTGAATACTCCTCGTCGTCGTCGCTCGAATAACATCGCGGTGCTCTCGCGCCGTCGTCGCTCGCATCTTGAAGCAATAGAGCACAATGAGAGGGCGTACAAGTGTGACGCAAGAACCTTGAAGAAACACGGCAGCCCTTTGCGGGATGAGTCCCGCGAGCGAGCAATCCGGCTCCCCTCCCCCCGCCCCTCCAGCTGGAAAATACGATCCCTGATCACCGGCGAGCCTAAGTGCCGCTTCAACTTCGTCGCCGGCGGCATTGTCGCGTTATAACGACGCGCCGGTGTTCGAGAATTGTAGGCACGTTTGCGCGATCGCATCCGCATCGCGCGATTGCGAATGCGGTCGCACATCTGGCCGTAAACGTTCTGTCGATATCGTCATAGCGCGCGGCTCACCTAGCGCCCGGTTATCACCGGCATTTTCATATATCGGCCTTTACACCGTATCCTCTGTTCTTGCAGCGAGCCGTACGCTTACAGACTCGCTGCAGGAAGCAACGACAAATACAAGGGCGACTATTATCAAGTTAAAAGGATCGTTCGACACCCAGCTTATACTTTCGAGACAACCGATTACGATATCGCCCTCCTCGAGGTATGTACTACCTAACTCCACCACCCTCCCTCCCTCCCTCCCTCCTTCTCTCTCTCTCTCTCTCTCTCTCTCTCCCTTTCTCTCTCTCTCTCTCGCGCCCTCTCTTTCTCCGCTTTCTCCACTCGCTAATGGCCTGCGCCAGCTGACAATAACAACATCGGTAGCTCCCGCACGCTGTGGAAATTTCATTTCAGGTCGACGGCGAAATCAGATTTAACGATAACGTGCAGCCAGTGAAGCTGGCGGAAAAGGAGCCCGCGAGCGACGCGATGGTGAATGTTACCGGATGGGGCACGGTGGCGGTGAGTTGACGGTGAACAGACTCATTAGCAGGAACGTCGCGGGAAAGCAGGGGTTAAATAACGGCGAATTCGCGCGCGCGGCTCGAGAATTTCGCGGGAGCGGTACACCGCGCCGCGGAAATCTGGCCGCTTCGATCGCCGCCCTCGCTTGTTGCGGTGTGCGCTCGGCCGAAAAATCAATATCCCTTCTCGCCTCCCCCCCCCCCCCCCGCGCCTCTCTGCCGCGCGCTCTATGATACTAAATCATGTTGCGGGTATATCAAAGGTATTCCGTATATTATATTACGGCGACATTATTAAATTACTTGGACCGCGGGCGCTTCCCGTTCCGAACCGCGAGGCAAAAGCGCAACTTTCGCGGGGCGTATCCTGCATCGCTAACAGCGACGTTGTTATCCGACAATTGTTGTGTCGCGCGTTGATTCCGCCATTTCCGCGCACGTCCGGGTTTACCGCGAGCGGCGTTTACTGCTTACGCGTTACACCTGGACGCGACTCCGTCGTCGCGTTAATCATTCGGCGGCGCGGCGCGGCGGTCCGATATTCCAGCCAATGAATTTTCGATTTCAGCTATCAAACAATCGGGACTCATCCCTATTGATGAGAGTGTCGCTGCCGATCGTGAGCAGGGAAATTTGTCGGGTGAAATATTGGTTCGTCCACGTCGTCACCGGCAAGATGATCTGCGCCGGCTACGATAAGGGCGGCAAAGACGCGTGCCAAGGTGACTCGGGCGGGCCTCTCGTCGCCAATGGCACCCTCTACGGAATTGTATCCTGGGGACTCGAATGCGCTAAGCCGGATTATCCCGGCGTTTACACCAACATCGCGGCCCTTCGCCGCTGGATAAAACGGATCAGCGGTGTTTAACCGTTGACAATCGCTCGGCCCTTGTTAGCGCGATTCCACTTGGCGCGGGCGTGAATGTTCAACAGCGGAAGTGAACGATTCGCATGAGTCGTTAACGACGACACGACGGGAGATGACGTCTCCCGCAATTTGCGCGCTCCACGCGTCACGGATTTACAACTGTAACATTGTTCGAAAAATGAGGTCGCGCCCGACGCGACTTTGGCCCGTCGCGACTTTAGATAACTTCACCCCTGCGGGAGTGAGAATGATCGCCGAGTCGTTAAAATGAGCTCGCTGCTCGCGAGTGTCAGAAAATGTGCGTGAGCCGAAATAAAGAGTGGAATAAAAATGGAATACACGCTAACGAATATTCCTAGGGTGGGCGCAAAACTCGCGTAAAACTCACGAGGCGATCGTCGTCGCATCACTTCGGTGCGACGTTCCGATAAGCTCGAGCCCTTTAATCGACGCGTCACACCAGGACGAAGACGCTGAGCGACGCTGAAAGGCGCTCTACGCACGAGCGGCGACGGATATTTAATCAGCTATTAATATCACCATCTTGACACGATTTTAGCATTACCGGCCGATAAAAACGGAATACACGCTAACGAATATTCCTAAGGTGGGCGCAAACGTAAAACTCACGAGGCGATCGTCGTCATACCACTTCGATGCGACGTTCCGATAAGTTCGAGCTCTTTAACCGACGCCTCTCACCAAGACGAAGACGCTGAGCGACGTGAAAGACGTTCTACGCACGAGCGGCGACGGATATTTAATTAATAGCTATTAATATCACCATCTTGACACGATTTTAGCATTACCGATAGGCCGATAGAATATCGCTCGCGTCTTTCACCGCTCGATTCACCGGCCGGCGCGCAAACATTATCTCGGCCATCGTTTCTTCAGCTCGGACGAGAGACGATCGCCGCGAATCAATCGCGCGGCGCTCTTTCATATCCTCGCGATAACGCCTGCTAACGCGATCACGGGCTCCGATAACGACACACTAAAGATTTATCATCGAAAGAAAGTGGGTTCCCCGGTCGCGCGCGCGCGCGCGCGCACGAATCATTTAGCGATTCACTCCGGCCAGTCTCAGCGGAGGGTTTCCATTAGTCGTGATCAGACCGATCAGACGCGAGTGTGAAAGGATGTCGGCCATACTGATCCTGTTCCTCTGCGTTCTGCTGGCGCACAGTGAGTATCGAAACACGCACCGCTCAGCCGGATATCGAATTGCTTTACATAAATTCTGATTACAGCCGTTAATACCGAGAGGCAGCAATATGTGGACATCGCGGATTACCCGTACCACGTGAGAGGAATTCGCTTCTTTTTTCTTCTTTTTCCTTTTTTTTTCTCCGCTTTCCGCCCCTTTTTTTCATACGGTACGCGCGAAACATCATGCGCTCCAGCGACAAATAAAACTGCCACGCCATTCACCGGCGGTTTTAATCGGTAGTCAGTGCAGCACGGTGACTGTAAGCCGCTATTATTTTCAAGTAAATCCGATTTCCAGATAGAATTCGTTATTTCAATACAGGTATCGATCGAAATAGCGGGACAACACGCATGCAGCGGCGCGTTCATACACGAGTCCTGGATTATGACCGCGGCGTCCTGCATTTTTAGGTACGTTTCGCCGCTGCGGGGAGCGCGTAATAATAAATAGTAACAGGGGAACATCCGCGTTGTTGATTTTGCTGGGGAAGAGAGCGAGAGGGCGGATCCTCTTTCCCTCGGCGACGATCGTCATTCTCCCGTTCTCCTCATCGATACGCTAAATTCTGCCGCTGATATACATCCCCCCGTCCGTGTTTCGCAGGGCCGAGCTGCCGGCGATAACCGTGCGCGCCCGCACATCCGTCGTCTCCGCGGGCGGCGACGTACTGGAGATAAGCAATGCGGTGGTGCATCAAAGTTTCGATAAGTACGTGTACTTCAACGACATAGCGCTCGTCAAGGTACGTGCGTGTCCCGCGCGGCCGAGCGCGGAGCGGTACGAAACGCGCAACTATACGTGCTATGCAATGCACACTTGTCGAATTTGTAGCTGAAAATTCCGGCGGAGTTTGGCGAGAAGTTGCTGCCAATCGGACTGCCCGAGAAAGGGACTCGAGTGGACCGCGATGGAGCAACAGCTGTCGTGACCGGCTGGAAGCGAACTCCGGTAAATATCGAGTAACACACGCTTTCGAGTTATTTTCGAATTTTCACAGTCGGCCGAGCGCGCGAAGCGCGAAAAGCGCCGCGTTTTATCGCGCATCTACGGCGCGATGGCGGGCGAGCGTCCAGGTGCCACGACACCTGGAGAGCGCATAACTCGTCGGTCGTTCCTACGAACGACTGCTGAAACGCTCTCTCCCCCCTCCGCCTGTAACGACGTCGGGAACGAAATTTTTACAGCGAATACGAATGCAGCAAACTCTCTCGGATATGCAAACTTTCCGCGACTCTCTGTCGGCATCGGCATCGCCGGAGGAGCGACGTTATTCAAAGTCACGTCGGTGACGAAGTAAATCGTCACGAAACGTTCGCGGCCGGCCGGCTGCGCCCCCGAGATTACAATAACGAGAAACGTGTCGTAAAAACGTGCTGGCCGTGCCAAATTTGCAGGAGGAGCTCGGACCGGCGGCGAGCGCCGGAGGCGAGCTCGCGGCGGCCGCTGTGGCGATCGTAAATCACGATACGTGCGCCGGGATGTTGCCGAGCTACAAGCCGTTGTCTAAGGAGATGCTGTGCGCCGGTAACACGAGCCGCGGCGCGGAAACGTGTCAGGTAAGATGAACACGAGATTGCAGCTCGCGAGTGACGCGACACAACGACGAGGCTCGAGCGGCCGCGATGATCCGTCGAGGGCTCGTGTGAGCACGCGCGCGCGCGCGCGCGTGGAAGCCGCGCGACAACCTCGGGCGATCCTCGAGAGGACCTGGCTACGCGACGCGACGTCGGTGCCGGAGGTAAGAGGCACCTTCGCCGTCGTACGCCACGCGCGACACTCGGCACGTGCGACATCGTCTACGTGCCGTGCCGAGATGGTGTGTCAGGCGCGCAACGAGCGGATGGAGCCAGTCGGAGAGCGGAGGCCGGATTTCCGAATTTCCGCGAGGCTCGCGACCACTGCTGATTCGCTGGATCGCTGAGGATTCGCTTTGGGAGCGGAAACACGGGGGAGGAGAGGGCGAGAGCGATCGCGACGGATCGCGTCGCGATTACGCTCGAGATCTCCGGCCGATGGTGAAGTAATATATCTCGCGCGTGTTTCGGCGCGGCCTCGGCCTCGGCCTCGGCCTCGGCCGAAGCTCTCTCGCGCTCTCGTAACGAGCCCCGTTGGTGAGTGGGCCGCCGCTGGTGGAAAATGCGAGCCGCGTAAATTAAGAGCAGCGCGCGCGGCAGCTCGGCCAAATTCCGATTGTACACGGCCGCGAGTATACAATTACGTCGATGGAGTCTCTCGATAGTCTTCCCGCAAGTACACGCGCGGCTGGTTCAGGTGTCGGATGCACCAGATCGCTGAACAATGCGGCGGCACTCGACTCGAGAACGCAATTTCCACGCGGTGCCGCGAGCGAGCGAGCGAGCGGGTGAGTGAGCGGGACCGCGCCAAGAGACCTGCGCCCCGTTAGAAGAACGCCCGTTATTTCGCAACATGAGCACGCAGCACGTAGGCTGCCGAACAGCGCGGAGCGTTTGCCGCGCGGATACAAGGCTCTGCCAACGAATTCTATTGTATCGAGGCGAATTCATGCGGAGCGTGGACAAAGGTCTCGCGAGGACTCGCGGCTGAATTATTTGCAAGACTCGCTCCCTCTTGCTTCAAGACTCGCGTCGCTAAATGTTGTAAAACGAAAGCGGCTCTCGAGGAGCGCTCCGTATATTGTCGCGCTGTTACGCTGTTAACAAGCAGGATATGAGACTCCCCGTGGAAGATGCATGAAAGAATCGATACTCAGCCGGTGGCCGGCATCGGAATTAGATCCGAGATACGTCGATTCTTAGCGGCCGAGCTTTCTCCGAGCCAATCAAAGCAATCGTCGCGATGTTATTGTCCGCAGGGTGATCCAGGTGCGCCTTTGGCCTCGGAGAGGACGTTAATTGGCGTTCTATCCTACGGATTAGGATGCGAGAGCGCGATGCATCCGGGAGTGTATACCCGCATCGGCAGTTACTTACCTTGGATCTTTGCAAACTCAGGCATCAATTACTTATGAGGCGGCGCGCATAAACCACCACCACGGTTGATTTCAATTAGTTGCACACCGACTGGAGCTGCATCGATAAATCGGACTCGGCAAGTGAAATACATCCCGACGCATTGAAAGATTGAAACACGCGAAATCGCGTGGTATTTGTTAACAACACACATCTTCGTTAAAACCAGGGGATTGGATTTAAACCGTCGCAGTTAAAAATTAGATTAAAGGCGAGCATTGCTTTTGCATCCCCATGATATTGACCATGTCGCCCGGCCGAGAGAACGACACGAGGAAAATAGCCGCTTGAGCGCAAATAGGCGACTACCGGAACTCAAACATTACGCGATTTCGTCAATACTCGATGCATATTCATAAAGATTTAACGTAGCAGCAACGGACTGGCAATCAATTATTTCGCGCCTGCCGCGTGCGTACTCGCTCGCTTGATAAAGTCATGAATACAGTACCTCGAGCATACCATTTAATTTCAGCACTGGCGGCGAATGTCCCGTACTTCCGATTCGGAGTGTGGCTTAATTGTCACGTTTCGAAACCGAAACTTCCGGCGTGCGACACGTCGCACGTCGCGGTCGATCGTTAATTCACCGTCGATATTCCGTCGCGCACCAATTAATGGAAAGGATTAAAAGTTTATACAAATTCATAGCCCGCAGTTCATTTGCGCCCGCGTGAACCCGGCTGTGTAGAATTAACGAGCGGCATTTAAAATCCTTTTAGCGGCCATTAAAGATTTAATAACACGTCATTTTTTAATTTATCTGCGCACAACGTCCCGAGTGGAAATTTTGGTTCCGCATTAAATCTGAAAATTCCGTTGATGTGTACAGGGTGGTTTAAGAAAGGGCAGCCTGGCTACGTGCATATTACATTCCTCTCATCGCGACAAAAGATAAACAAATTCCTGCACACGTAAAATGTGCACCTAGAATTACGCCTGATTAAAAAAGCTTACGTCAAGTCAGGATTAAGAGAATTTCTTTAAATGCTAACGCAGTAGATAGACAATAATAATAATACTTGTTTACAGCATCAAATTCGCTTGACTTTTATCTGCACGGCCATTTAAAATCTTTACAAGGAACAAAAGATGGACGCCGAGAGACACAACACTACGGGAGTGTTTGGACGCACAAGAAGCCCGTGACGCAAAAGATTCAGAATTGTGTCGCTCCATGCTTCAGCATCTCCCTTAATTTTTCTCCTTTCTTTTCAATATTTGAAATTCATTTAAATAAATATTATTGTACGTTAACATTGAAGGTAAAATTCATTTAATTCTGACCTGACTGTAACTCTTTAACCAAGCATTCCCGCCACTGTTTCTTGCAGGAACTCTTTTGTTTGCTCAATGAGAACAATAGAACCGCACGTAGTCAACCCACTCGTTTTGAAACACTCTGTATAATGCTTTACGAACTACATTGCCCTCCCTTGATGCTGCAATTATTGTAGTTACCGCTTTTCCACCGCGTTGAATGTAGAAAAAAAGGATCTATTTCAGAATTACTTTAAATTTAATTGTCTCAATATTCTCCTTTGCATTTAATCTTTATTCCAAATTTCGGCCGCCGATAAATATCGCGCTATACCGGATAGACATCAATAGATAGACGTCAATTATTCACGACCTTTGATCGAGAGCATTACAGATACAGAGAGCATTAATTACAGATCTGCATTCACGGGTCGCCGCTCGGCTGTCTGAGTCAATAGTTCTTGAGTATGAAATAAGGTGCGGACAGTAAGTAAGTACAGGTACTCGACATCGGCGAGCCACCGATGGTTTTGTGGCTGCGAAATAATGCAAACGAAATAATGGATTTTTGCGTGCGTGCATTACCTTTATTATTAGATGCGGTTAAAACGCAGAGTGAGACGATTCGTAACGGAAGAAATGAGGGAGAACGATGAAACTGATTACTCGTGACGTCGCTCTTCCCCGATAAAGCCGCGCGATACTCGCGAAAAGGCGCAACCTCTGTGTCCGACGCACAGCTGGGAGAGATCGAGCGCGATTGGCACTCGTTCACACGCCGGTTTTCTCCTCTATCCAGTCCCGAAGAGCCGCTATACGCGTGTACACCCCGGGATAGGCGGGATGCGCGCAGCCGAATCCCCAGGACACTATTCCTATCAGACGGCCGTCCTGCACCAGTGGACCGCCGCTATCGCCCTGGAAACACACACACCCAGAGCATTCCAGAGCAACGAGAACGGACGGAATTCAAAGCCCGTCCTGGTCGGCGCGTGTTCGTGTAATAATTTTAATCGATTCCTCCGCGGCGCGGGATCGCTGCGATAAAAGATACGCTCCTCGGGGACGCGCGACGCGCGACGCTCGGCCGCTGCCGCGAGTCCTTTGCAACGCTCTCTCGCTGCTCGCGCTCGCGCCAGCGCAAAAATCGATAGCGCAGCCGTCGCAATATATTATCCCTTTCTTCCGTTATCCCACGCGCAGCAGAAAAATATCGCCGTCGGAAAGCTCGCCAATTCTCGATCGCGACTCGATGCTGCTCGATATTTAAAACTGCCTGCATAACGGAACGCACAGAAGGACAAAAGCAGCGCTTTCGACGAGAGAGCGATACTTTCCGACGGGGACAGGAGCATAGATCCTCGGACGCGGGATTTCCCCTCTTCGCTCTGTTTTACTTCTCCTCCTCGCTCTCCTCCTGTTTATTCGCTCTGAAGGCAGATCGCCAAGAAAAACTGAACGACAGCGAGGCGAGGGGGATGAAAAACAGAAGCCTCCCCTCGCGCAAGCAGCGGAAACTTCGTCTTTTACGTCCGCCGCTCATGATTTCCAGCTCGGGAGGGGGACGAAAAATTACCTGGCAGGCGTCTTTCCCGCCGACGCTCGTGTAACCCGCGCACAGCATCCTCGGGGTGATCTTGCGGTGTTGGTATAAACTCGAGCACTCTGCATCCGAAACGAGCGGCACTTCCACTTTGCGTAACTGATTGGTCGACACGCCGTTGCTTCTTAACGCTCCCCAGCCGGTAACCACCGCCATGCTGTGCCTGGCATAATGATCATCGGCCATCGACGCCAGCGGAATCGCTTTTATTCGGCTGCTGTAAGCGAGCGGCTCCTCCAGCTGCAACGAGTGACCACCGCCAAGTCAAGATACGCGCAGCTCGACTCCGCGACGTAACGTTCACACGTGACAAAAAGATTCGAAAGCGTCACTTTCGTCGCTTTCGCGCTAGCGAGAAGTTGCAGAGGTCCGTCGACATCGGCACGCTCGCTGAACTCAGAGACTCTGACTCGTTCGCTGGTGATCACCTCGAGTAGAAAAATTAATAGGGCTCTCTGCTAAGGGCTAAGATTGTTTTTCTCTAATCGTTAATCGGGCCCTAGTAGAACAGTAGAACAGTAGAAAAACAAGGGCTCACAAGTGATTTAACGGGTGCCTTGTAAAGCAATATTATGAGGGCAATATAAGGCTCAACAGAGCCTTATAAGGGAATATTTTTATTATTGCCTGAGTAAAAATATGCGTTCTTTTCATTCCGAAAAAATTTGGACTATAATATCTTTATCTCTTTATAACCTTATTAGTATACCGCAAGAATTTTTTATTTTAAAAGTATAATATACTTTACGATAAGATACAGCATTCTTTGCACATAAAAATCCTGCTACCTGCCTGTTCTCATTAAGGTTCGCTGCATTTCAGAACAAAAGCGACACTAGCGAGAATCCTTACAAACGACTAATAAATACGGCAACTGATAAAACTAACTAATAAGATTTGTTTTTAATTAAAAACGGTGTAATTAAAAAAAAATCTTTAAAAGAACCAAATAGAGCGTACCTACTAAAACAATACTAAATTATGACAATTTTATTACACGCTTCAGATCTTATTAATTTTCTATAACAAAACTTGATTCTGTATATCTAAAGCATTCTTAAAAAAATCCTTCTAAGGCCCACATCAATTTTCCATGTTAAAGCGTAATTTCGTAAAATCTCGGTCATCGGGGCGATGATGAGGGGTAATAACGAGGCATTCCTTCTTAGGGCATCCTACGCTCAATCGGGGCCTGATGCTTCATGAGGATGGCCCTAACAACTTTTCGCTCAGGTCGACGTGCAATCCGCGACTCGTGCGCGACTCGCCGCGCCAGAACCGTTTTTCTCTCCGCGCGCTACATCCGTAACATCAATTAGCTCGGTGCATTCGCCGCGCGGCGAAGGTACGCGGCAAGCGGTTTCTCGGACAGTTGAATGACCAGCGGACTCGTAATCAACCCGACAACGACGGCTTCCAATCGGCCGGTTACGCAAGCGATTTTCCCCGAACTCACCTTTATTACGGCGATGTCATAATCGCCGTTCCGCCGGCTGTAGTTCTCGTGAACAATAACTCGCCTCGCCCGCGCCAGCGTGCCTTCCTCGTCGAGATCGGACGTGCCCGCTTTTATCGCGGGATATCGCCTGCAACAGAGCGGGAGCGAGGTACGTGAGGCATCCGGCCGGGCGGCTTAACGAAGCCGATCGCGCCTGCTAATGCGCGCGAGTTCGGCAAAAAACTATATACCCAGCGTATCGCACGCAGTGAGCCGCGGTGATGATCCAATCCTCGCTAATGATGGCGCCGCCGCAGGCGTGCCGATCGCCGTGTCGCAGGGACACCTAGAAATCACCAGGGCGGGGGGGGGGGGTGTAGCGATTTTGTTGCAGCAGGCCGACGCGCGCGCGCACAACGCCACTCATAAATATTCGTCACGGCGGATATTCGCGTTACGGCAAAATAAAGGATCAAAAGGATCATTGCTCCAATTTTGCTGGGCCGCGGCTGTGACACGCGCGCGCGCGCCTCGCGCTAATTACGCCGGACCCTTCGCAATCGCGCAATCGCGGAGGAGCACGAGCTCGAGAGCGGATGGAATCCTCGACGAGGAATTCCCGAGCGGTCTACTTCTCGCGCGGTCTTCGGCTAGCCCGCAACGTACAATCTCGGCGCTGCGCGCTGCCAATTGAATGAAATCACCGAGCAATCCGACCGTCGATCGGCCCGAGCGCAATGCGGTGTCGCGTGAAACCGTGAACGCGCCCGGCATTTCTACCAGTCCCTTTTCGATCTCCCTCCTACTCCCCCCCCCTTCCCCCCCCCCGCGTTATCTCAAACAGCGACTTCGATCGTGAGGCAAATCCGAAAGTCCCTTTGTCCGATGAACTTGTACTCGCCGATTGTTGCCTGTTCGGTGCACTTACTTGGTACGGGTGTTCCTCGATGCTGGTCTCCCGGCCGCCGACAATGCGCCCTTCGTCGTCTAAATGGCCAATATTCGGATTAGTGTTTCGCCACGATTGGCGGTTTCGCGCCAACTACCAGCTGGCGAGCGTGAATTTAACTCCCGGCGCGAATCCAACGGAACCTGGTCGGGTCGTTAAGACGATCGGACGCATTAGTAAACGTCGTCGAAACACGGCCGCTATATCATTCGCGCCGTGTCGTTCTTTTTTCTTTCTTTCCGAAATGCACGGTCAAAATGGCGGTGGCATCGCTGGCCCGTATCGATCGCGAGTGCGACGACAGTAACGCGCGAATTTAGGCCGGCCGAGGCGAAATAGGGACGCGCGACCGCTCCGAAAACTCGAACCTCGATGCTTCCTGTTTGCGTAGTTATCGGGAAATAGAAAATATCTATTATTTCAAGTGGCCGCTGATAAATCCCGTCCATCGACCTCGACTATCCGGCGCCATTTGTCGCTTCTTATACAACTCGTTCTCCTACAACGATCCCCCCACGCCTATCACATTTCCCGAGACGTTGTTAGATATTTACGTACGTAATATACCGATGCGTTGTTGACCTCGCGACAGGACGCCCCGCAGGAGCGCGGAGCAAAACAGGAACAGAAGCACGCGGCGCATCGTGGAAATGTTTTATCTCGGCTAGCTGTTATCCGCTTATCGCCGGCTTCTTTTGATTCTACTCGCTGCACGGCTGCTTGATTGACGACGTCAGTATGAATTTTCCAAGCGTAGCCGGAACGTGTCCGGTCAGCCGTCGAGCACCGCCGCGAAGAGTCGCCTGGTGCCTGGATTCCAGCAGTTAGTTATTTATCGTCGTCATCCGTTCGCTCAAAGTCGCGCTGAAACAAAACCGGAAACAAAAACGAACGTCGAAGCCTCGCGCTCCATCGCGCACGTCCGCAAGGCGATCGGCCAATTGCTCGGCGGGGAAGCAATTAAACGCAACCGTTGCAGAGAACAATCCCAGAGTCAAAGGACAGCTCGCCCTCCCCCACAGAGGGGGACCGGAGCTCTTTCTTCAGCGGCCGAAGCCGGGACGATGCGCGACGAGTTCGCACCGGCGAACTTGCCGACTCGGGGGATGCCGCGCCGCGCCGCTCGCTCGCGAGGGTTAGGAAGCACCACTTCGCGGCGCGTATAATTCATCGTTATCAGAAATCCCGGATATATCCGCGCGCGAGCTACGCTCGGCCAGACCGAGGGGGCGGCAGAGGAGAGAAGGGGGATCGCACCGCCGCCAGACAACAAGGACTTGATATCCGTGGGAGTATCGATCGCTTACCGGCCGTAATGCGCGCTGCACATTAGTATGCACCACGTCTGCGAGGATTCTTAACCAGACCAGAAGGGCTGGGCTTGCCGTGAGGAACGCAGCGCGCATCCCGGCCCTTACGAGACGAATACGGTGAGAGATCCGTCGGCACGTGCAACATCAAAGATAGGTAGGTAGGTAGGTAGGTCGGTCGGACGCGAACATCGACTGTGGCACCCTTTACGAGCGAGCCAGCTGTGCGGGGCTGCGGAATCGTTTATTCAATGCCACCGCGACGGCGAAACTCAGACTCGCGCGCGCGCGCGGCGCGTCTCTCTCCGAGTCGACGCTGAAATTAATAATCCCGCGTGACGAACGATTACGTCGAGGCGTGGCGCGAGGCGAGTTGTGATGTTTATTGCATCGCGCGGAATTGTACGCGTTAGCACCTTGCCACGGGGTTGATTACTCGCTGCGGTCTCTCGCGGAGGCTGCGAGTCGGCGAGAGCACTTGGCGACTCGACGCGATCGACGCTCGCGGTCTTCGCGACTCGTTGCTCGCGGCCGGACTGCCGGCCGACCGCGACGCTTCACGTTTCGAGGTGGGACCAGTGAGCGTGCCGGGTTACGCGGGTTTATTCGTTTTCCTGGACTCGCCGGTCGTTAAGATACACTTGAAATTCCGATGAAACGTCGCCGTCGCCGGCGCGCTCCGGTGACGGGCAGAACGTTGCGCAATCCTTCTGCGGGGAATCGTGGCGGTCTGAAGTTTCTTCTAGACGCGCCGAGCCTGCCGCTCGTTGTTCGCGCGGCAGATCAGGCTGGCGCGAAAGTGGAAACCGATAGACACGTTTCATTGTCGGCGGACACGCGACGCAGGATAGAAGCACGGGGATGATAATGCCAATTTATTTGCGAAAATTCATCGTGACAAGATCAACGCGACCAGACTACATGGAAATGCGATTAATCTCGGCGGAATTAATTGAGCGACTACGTGCTCAATTCCCCTTCGTCCGTTCCGCAAGTCCCGTTTTTCCAGGCGTTTCCGGCGCTCCTTCCTCTCTATTTATAGAATTTGTAGACGGTGTCTCTTTCATAATGTCGCACGGTCTTGACTTAGCGGTTAAACAAAAGCAAATATTTCCTCAACGGTACGCCGCCTTTCCTCTATCTCGGGGAACGGGGAAGGGAGAAGAGAAAAATTAATTCCGCTACACGTTCGCCCGCTTGGTTATCCAATCCCGTATGGCTGATACTCGGGTGTACACTCCGGGAAATCCGACACTTCCACACTGAGCGCCCCAGGACACGATCCCAATTTGGACACCGTTGTAGACGAGCGGACCGCCGGAGTCTCCCTGTGTCGCAGACAAATAAAGCTCTTACTTTCGTCGCAGAAATAAAAGCACCGCGGCGAGAAGATCGAATGAAATAATTTCAATCGGGCGAAACCCTCCTCTGATTGCGTTCCTCTCTTCTTCGGAGCATTACATTAGGATAATTAATCCTTTCGGCATTAAGATAAGCGTCCCAATGGCCGGACACGTCCCAGTACGTTCGACCGCTTTGAGAAAAATATTCACTATTTATTTTAACAATAATGAATGAAAGTAATAATTATTGTAATAAAAAAAAAAACTCCGATATCTGACGATTAATTGGAACAAAAGTACACCCAATTTGATACTGATTTTGTGTTAAAATAAAATTTAACACGTTCGCGACGTTCGTCGAATCAATAAATCCATTGGTTCACTCTAAAGGACGCACAATTTTTTTTATCTTGCTATAATATTGTCTGATCGACAAACCATGTTGCTAGTACATAGATACATTTCTCATGTAGCCGTAGTTATGATGTATAGAGATACACCGATACACACAGAGACTTTCAGAAGTGGGTCACGATGTCGCGAACGTGTTAATTAAATAAGTGTGCACCTGTGATTTGGCAAATTAATGGTGAATCGTTAATAAATTCATTAAGAGATAGCATCTATATTTATATTATATTCCCCGTTGGCACATACTAGTTTTCTAATTGCGGTCAAACACTGGGACAAATATATCCGAACATTGAGCCATAATCTATTTCAATTGTCCGCTGTCGCTGCTACATTAATGCGCTTTATTACATAAATAAATATTTCATTAATAACGGATACATATATTGGTTTAAATAATTTTTTTCCACTTAAGGGAATTTTAAGTTTTCGAAAAAATTGCAGATATTTATATCCAAACTATTCTTAATATCATATATTGTATCTTTTGTGACGACCTACGCTTAAACATCCGGTTACTGGGACATTTACCTTATGAAGAGAGAGAGAGAGAGAGAGAGAGAGAGAGAAAGAGAGAGAAACGCGTTTGCGGACACGATCGCGAAATGTTATATATATTCTCTTTCATTCTAACGCAACACTTTGCTACAATGTAACGGCCGCAATAAAACATAGACGATCACGAGAGCGCGAAAAATATCGTCGCTCGCGACAAGCGGAGCAATTTCTCGCGCGGAAGAAAAAAAGCGCCGAGATAATATCCTCTGTCTCGCAGCGGCGCGATGATGGAGCGCGCGGTAGGAGTGCCGAATCAAAGGTTCGCGCAGATACTCGTCCAATATCAGCAAAAGAAGCGGAAAAGAAGCAGAGAGAGAGAGAGAGAGAGAGAGAGAAAGAGAGACACGCGACACGTACGTGACAGGTATCCTTGCCGCCGCTGATGTAGCCGGCGCAGAGCATGGCCGGCGTCACAATCCCGTAACGAGCGTAGATCTTTTTGCAGACCTCCTGATCGATGACCGGCATCGCGAGCACTTGCAGCACCTCCGAGCTCGAGCCGCCAGCCTGAAACTCACACAGCGCGGCCGTATATACAACATCGGCGAGCGCGCGCGAGGCTTACCGCGGAGATTCGCGACGTCTGGCCAAAATCCCGTCAACGTTTGCCGCGCGCGACGACCGGTGCCTGCGTTCGGCAAACAGACCTTGGCGTTTACACGCAGGTAATCAGTCTCGTCAAACGTCATCGCCACCGGCGCTAAAGCACTCTGACGTGCCCGCCGGCACGGTAACGCGCTAACGACGAACGAGCGCGCGCGCGCGCGCGCGGAAGGATGCGCTCGAAACGCTGCGACGAAGTACACAGAAAGGACTCACCGACAGCTCGCCCCATCCTGTGACAACTGCCTTGTCGCCGGGCTTAACGGCCGTCGATGGCGTCGCTAGGCCGATACTTTTCACACGCGAGCTCAGTTTCAGGGGAGTAGGCAGCTGCAAAATATTCCCTTTGTGCAGGACGAGTCGTAGCGAGCGCGCGGGAAATGCGTCGTCCGTGGCTACGCCACGGATTTACGCGTCTACGTACTTTCATCAGGGCCACGTCGTAATTGTACATATCCTCGTCATACAACTCATGGTAGTAAATAGTGCTGATGTCTGTGAACACAGTACCTTCCTTATCCAGGTACGTGCTGCCCACTCGGATCTTGAAGGATGCCCGTCTCCTCCTGAAACGTTTGGATTTCTCGTTAATTTAGCCCACCTGATAACCGGGCGAAGGAACAGAGAAACACGTGTCGGAAGTTGGCCCCGCACTTTTTTCGAATTTTGAGTTTTTCTTTATGGTGCCGTATTGTGCTATGTTTGTGCTGATTTGTGCCGCAAACGCGAGACCGATTACCTCAATGACATTTGAGAAAGAAGATAAAAACGAAAATTTGCCAGCCCTCCACTTTTGTCCGAATGAATCCAATTTTTGTTTGTGAATTACTACTAATTTGTTGCGCCGAAAAAACTGGATATCTCCTTTCGTTCAGTAGAAAAAAAATGTTTCTTTAGGTACTACATGTGGACTACGATGGTCTGACGTAATTTTGCCATTAGAAAAAGTTGTTGGGCTTGACCAGCACAACTCGGCACAACTTTCAAAATTTCGAAAATGTAAAAAAGAATTTCTTGGCCCACTACTTCTTGCCAATTTTTTGCAAGCTGTGCAATTTTCGGAACATGTCTTAGTCGTTTCTCGTTATACTCGGCTAGCACAATCCAGCACAACTCGCAGAATTCAAATATCTACCACGATTCAAAAGCTATAATGATCTGAAAATTGTTCCTAAAATTATTCCTAAAAGTTACTTGCTTCGAATGCTCGTACTGCGAAAACCAGCCATTTTGCAATTAGAAAAAGTTGTTGGGATTGACTAGCACAATCCGGCACAACTTTCGAAATTTCGAAAATATGAAACATTTCTTTTGCGTCACCGATTTTTGCAAATTTTTTTGCAATCTAAGTAGTTCTCGATACATCTCTAAGTGATTTCTTGTTGTACTCGATTAGCACAATTCAGCACAACTTGTAAACTTGCGATAAAGGCATTGTAGAAAAAGTTATTTATTAATTTGTATTTTAACTTTAACATTTCTTTCTACTGAACGAAAGGAGATATCTAGTTTCTTCGAACGCTGCACAACGCTGCACAAATTAAAATAAATAAATAGGAATTCACAAACAAAAATTGGATTCATTCGGACAAAAGTGGAGGGTTGGTAAATTTTCGTTTTTATTTTCTTTCTCAAATGTTATTGAAGTTATCGGTCTCGCGTTTGCGGCACAAATCAGCACAAACCACCACCACCACAATACGGCTCAATAAAGAAAAACTCAAAATTTGAAAAACGCGGGGCTGCCGAAAATTTAGTTTTTCTTAATTTTCTTGAGTACGCTTTGAGTTACAGAGTTGCGGATTACGGCACAAACGTAGCAGTACAATGCGGTACAATTCGAAAAAATACAAAATTCGGAAAGTGCCGGGCCAACTTCACACACGTCAGAGAAATGTTTCTGTCTGAAACGACGCATACCCATAGACGCAGTGTGCCGCCGTCAGGATCCATAGGTTGCTGATGATCGAGCCTCCGCACAGAAGCTTGCCGTCGTAATGAATGGATACCTGCCGGAAGCGATTCTTCTAAGGAAGCGGTAACGCGAGGCGACTCGGTTGACCCCGTAAATTTGTCGGAAATATTCGGTCAGCATCGATAATAACGCGCCGCGATAAGTTTACGCAGTACTTCTCGGTCTCCGACGCGGCACAGTTGTGCGGAACAGGTGGATTAAGATTCAAGGTGACAAATGGATCCTCCGTAAACTGACCTGATACGGGTAGTTATCGATGGTGGTAGACTTGCCGCCGATTATCCTCGACTCGAAGGACCAGGCAGAGGCTACCAACGTCGCAAGGCACAGGATGAGCAGCATGGCCATGGTTGCGAACGACTTACAATTCGTCACTGAGATGTTTATCCGAAAATCAGATTTTAGATACGCGATGAGACACGCGATAAGACGGTCGATATCGCGAGCTTGATATCATATCGATATCTTCCGAGTCACTTATGCGCGCATGGTCGAGCATGGTCAGTCACTCGTCGAAGATATCCTAAATGGCTCGGAAACATGCGGGCCGCCGAGGCCACTCAAGGCCGAAAGCCGAGGCCGCAGCGAAGTCGCCAGGGCTGCTGCGCGTGCAGCTGCGTACGATTAAGAGCGGGTTAATTATTTACGATCACGTCCAATCGCGTTCACTGCGAAACAACAATCTCACTACGGTACGCGCCGCGCGGCGAATCTGAGCGGCTGCTGCCCCCGTGCGCGCAAACTTCCCCCCCGGGTTAACTCGTTGTAATCTGTTCGAAATTCCCAACTCCCGATACTTACTTGGTTGCCACCACGCGCAACGGTTTAACACGTACGTGATGTTGCAAAGCGGCGCACACACAAACGATGATATGAAATATTCTGCTGTCGCACTTGCACGGAGTTATATCTGTGACCCGCGGCGAAGGTCACGCGGGTCTGCTCAGTGAGCATCGATTTTACAAGGGCGAATGGATGCCGAAAGAGCGTAATATTTAATACCGTGGGCTCGGATTACCGCGAAAAATAACGATCTCGTTGTTTACGCTGTCGAAAGTCGCCGGACGGCTCGTCGTTCCGGGGAAATTCGACGCGATATTTTCGAAATGCAGCTCGCATTTGTATCGTATTACCCCGCCGGCGCAAGTCGAAAATCGCGCAATGACGCGAAGAGCGAACGATCGAAGTGGCAAGAGGGAGAAAGAGAGAGAGAGAGAGAGAGAGAGAATTGCCGCGTCGAAGCGCGTTTTTAATCGACGTGTCTATTCGCCGTGTGTGATCAACCGAGCGAGCGCATAATCGCGATATACCGATATCAAGCGCTCGTTATACCGCAGCAGTTCAAGCTGTGCAAACATCTACGTCCGATTGCTCTCGAGCAACCTTGGCCCGTCTTCACGTGAAGTGCTGCTCTGCCGTATTAACTGAATAATTGAAATGAATTTTCGCCCGCACTGTTTCGACGATATTTAATATATCCAAAAGAAAATAATTTCAGAACGAGTGGAATCATTTAAATTTTAGAGGATTCCTCTAAAATTAACGAAAATATTAAAAACACATTATTCTTAAACTAAGAGAGATTATACGTATGTTGTATGTATAATGCAAATCTTATTGATTTTAATATAAATTTCCTCTTACACACAGATTATTTAATCTTTTTTTTAAGAGGATTATTATTTATTCTTATTGTACTTTATTCTTACTGGTTATACTGGTTAATTTGAAAAAATTATTATAACGTATAGCGAAAAGTAATATATGTATATATAGATGTACCAGTTCTACGATAAGTAGATACGAATGATCAATAAGATCATGATAATAAACAAATTTCCAATCTTTATAGCTACAAATATGTTCATTATGGCCAATTGTATGAAACATAGTTAAAAGAAAGAATATATGAATTTATTATGAATTAACTTCTTGTAATAGATTATAAACTGATTTCACGAAATATGGATAAATTATCTTTGTTATATGTTACAGCAATACATGTACATACCTCTCTTAAAATGCGTTCCAAATATTCTGACCTATGATTATATTTTCATTCATATGCGGAAGTAGAACATAGCTGAACAAAAGAAGCCGACGTTCAAATCAACATATTCCTTTTCATATAAAAGGAAAATTAATTGATATAAGGGGGAATCCTTTTGTAATAAGAGGAAAACAGAATAATATCTAATAAATTTTAGACGAATGGTTCACTTTAATCGCTTTATCGAAAGAGGAATCCTTTTTCTGTAAAACGCTTTGCTTAGAATATGAGACTATGGGAAAAATCACTTTACAAATAGAATACTTTTTTTGGGTGTACGACATTCGTATATTAAAGAGGAGTATCTGTCCTTCATGATAAAAAAGCCTTTCCGGCACAGTTCGTTCTGAATTTCGAGAAAATCATCAGCAATTTACTTGCACAATTGATCGCTATTGAGGAATTGAAAACCGAGTTTCTTCTTTACGAGTTTCCACAGGAAGGAGATTAGCTCGCGATAAGTTATCGTCGCAATAACGATATAATCGCTTCTGATTGCGGTTAATTATTAATTACATAGCGTAATCAAGATTACGTGCTATAAATACTGTGCTCGTAAAAAATGTCTCCAACAGCTTGTTGTTTATGCAGGATATTCTGTCTCACGATTGTTACTCAAGCAGTTTCTATACATAAACTCTTACACTTTACTCCCTCCGTTGTCTTATTTGTTGTCTTTATTGTTGTCTGATCTGATGACTTTGTGTTTAATAGCAATTATATAAGAACGCACGTTGAGTTTAATATTTTAATAATAAAGTATCTAACAATAATAACGATAATGACGATAACGACGATAATGACGATGATAAAGATGATGATGATGATGATGATGATGATATGAGATAATTATGTATATATTCCCTGCATCGTTAATCAAAATATAGAGATCAAGATGAGCAGAAAACAACATTTGTCCGAATCCGTGGTAGATTCGCTATTATGTAAGATTGCTCGTACACTCTGCCAACATTTCCCCGACGCACGTATTCGCGAAATGTTCTCTTGCGCCAAAATAGGAGCTAAAGTAAAAAATTAAATGCTGTAATGCGTTTGCGTATCGCTCAGTTTAAACGGAAATATTCTTGTTTTTAGCCTAATTAGTATCACGCCGGTGAAATGTAATATCACATTCTATGGCAGATCGTATGAGGATTTATGCGCAAAATGGAGATAATTTTCAATTATGGCGAAATTATGCGGCGGTGTTCGTTCCGATATTTCGCTCTCTACAAAATTGCTAAATTAATTTTTGCTCTGATAGCTAAAAAGTATTAAGGCTATATGAAATGTTAAATAATTTTCTCCAACAATTTTCGCCGCAATGTGGTATTGTCCGTCCACTCGAAACCTGCGTAATTAGGTATGTAATTGTGATTATCGTACGTTTGTACTTTTCGATTTTTAAATTAAAACATTAAAACGTAGCCTTGTGAGCCATGCACGCGCACACAAGAGAGAGAGAGAGAGAGAGAGAGAGAGAGAGAGAGAGAGAGAGAGATATGATGTATTCACATTTTTTACTTTGATCTCACGCATCTCTCTCCCCTCAACACCGAGCCATTAGTAACATCGTGATATCTGCGATAAACACGATTTCATCGCGAATAAGAATTTCCGACGATAAAACTCGCGCCACGTTCCCTTCGCAAAGTCGCTCGAGCAAATAATAGTTATTTGTCAAACTGTAATTACACACGCTTAATTGTACGCCAAACTATAAAGCGAGAAGCGATAATATTATCGCTGATATCACAGACGTTGCTATATAGTTCCGCTATATTGATGTACGATAAATGCTGAATCACATTTTATATCGAAAACGCGGAAACGACGGCAGCCGCGTGCCGCTGAAATTCGCACTGGAGAATGGGTATCCTGCTTCGGTATTGAAATGCTAATTACAAATTAACGCGCACTCAGCAGCTACGGACAAAGTATTATCTTTTTATCAGTATACGATTTCGTAATACACACGCAATATAGCGTGTCTCAATATATAATTTATGGCACTTTAAAAGCCGGCACATTTTCATATGTGGAATAATATTTATAAATTATTAACGTAGTATAATTGAGTCCGAAACCGAATGATTCCGCCGGTGGGCCGTCCTCTCCAATAACGCAATTATGTGGAACGTTTTGGAAAGTTTGCAAAAGGGATCTCGAAATTAATAAAAGAAAAAAGAAATTTGTATTCAAACTACCTTAATCAAATATCGTGCGGTTTTATTTTATGAAAATCGAATCCTTTCGCTAATTTTGGGAGAGTACAAGCGTTTAACGCGATTTATATTTCCTAAGCGAGACGGACGATGTGTGTGCTATATTGTTTCTCTCTCTCTCTCTCTCTCTCTCTCTCATTCGAATGTTGCTCAAGCGATTATCGGGAAAGAATCACCGTAGGGCCAGCGCGAGTTCCAGGCTCGCCAGAATCCAGGATTATTGGAGGAAGGAGCGCGCAAGTATCGAGGAATATCCATTTGTGCGGTTACTATTACGTGCGGTCGAACTTTACGGGCGATTTGGCATTTAGAAAATCGCTGCTTTCCCTCTGCCTCCCTTTGCCCCTTTCTCCCTCTTCCTCTCTCGCGAGTCTCGAGGCGAAACTTCGATGCGTGTTTTTTCTTTTTTTTTTGCCAAACGCAAAGTCGAGCGTTTCTGCAAAGGTGGGTGGTATCATCAGCGAATGGCGGATAATAATGTTGGCGCCGCACGCGCGCCCGCGCGCGCTCAGTTTAATCAATTTTAATCTACCGCCTGGTAAAACTAATTTAGATTCCGCGATTACTCGCATTCGTGTGCCGCGACCTTTTGCAGAATCTACGTGAGGGAGATTCGAGCAAGAACGGCCGCGAAATATTATTACAAAAATGGCACGGTGCATAACGTCGACGGAGTCACGACACATTTTAAGTGTTGAGCCTCAATTAGCAATAAACTCGGCGGTGGATAATCTTATGCAAAAACATTAATTCGTTCCTCCTCGAGATAAAATTCCCGCAAGCTGTTTCCATCTTCGCACATTTTCGCGGCAACGTATTAAGCAAGACGACAAAGAGATACGATGCGCGGCGACGATAACGTAAATACGTTAACCTCAAAATCTGGATCGGGGTGGAATCTACTTGAATCGGGTACGAGCGAGAAGCGAAAGCTGATGAGGCACGTTGCGGGAATTCTCCATAAGACTTGCGCAAATAATTGGCAATAATGAAAAAGAAGGGAAGGAAAAATGTATACACATGTGTTACCAAGTTGAATAAAAATAACAGTTCCAGCCACGGAGAGGCAAACGACGAGTTGTTCTACATGCATCTCTCGCAACAAAAGCACCGATGATAAAGAGAGCAAAGTGAAAGAAAACTACAGAGCTAGAGTAGACATTGGCCGGCGAGTACATAAGGTCGTTTACGGAAGACGCTGAAGGTGGACTTTGTGCGGCTGCCTGCATTCCGCTCGATCAAATATTTTTGCAGGAATAACGTCGCGGAGTTGCTCTTGCGCGCTCGTCCACAGCTAACGGCTTTCGCGACGGTATTCGAAATAACGAACTGAACCAGCGGAAGTAACAGGCGCACATACGGTATGTCTTGCTTATTACATGGAACGTTGTTTCTCTCGAACGTAATGTAATAGTCAAGAAAAACGACTTTTATGCTGCGTTTAGGCAGTCGCGCTATATTTACAAAGTACCGCATCGTCCCAATCGAAAAGAAAGAAAGAGATCTCGCAGATAAAATTCGAAAAAGAAGAAAAAGCATGCAATATCATATCCATCGTATAAGAATATCCGACAGCGCGTTAACGTCAAATAATTCACCCCAAAAAAGTATTCTATTTGTAAAGTGATTTTCCCCATAGTCTCATATTCTAAGCAAAGCGTTTTGCAGAAAAAGGATTCCTCTTTCGATAAAGCGATTAAAGTGAACCACTCGTCTAAAATTTATTAGATATCATTCTGTTTTCCTCTTATTTCAAGAGGATTCCCTCTTATATCAATTAATTTTCCTTCCATATGAAGAGGAATATATTGATTTGAACGTCAGTTTCTTTTGTTCAGTCATGCTCTACATCCAGACATGAGCGGAAAAATAACCATATGCTCATGGGTCAGAAATGGGTTTGGAACAGTTTTTAAAAAAGTATGTATGCTTACCCATATTTGATCAAATACAGTTTATAATCTATTGCAAGAAGTTGAATAATATATTCTTTCTTTTAACTATGTTTTATACAATTGGTTATGACGAACAGCTATAAAGTCCATAACAAAACTGATTGAAGATTTATTTGTTATGATGATTTTATTTCATTCGTGTCTGCTTATTGTAGAACTGCCACCAGACAGTACATCTATATGTACTACTATATGTACTACTTTTCGCTATACATTATAATAATTTGTTCAAATGAACGAGTATAACCAGTAAGAATAAAGTACAGTAAGAATAAATAATAATCTTCTTAAAAAAAGATTAAATAATCTGTACATAAGAGGAAATTTATATTAAAATCAATAAGACTTGCATTATACGTATGATATATAATCTCTCTTAGTTTAAGAATAATGTGTTTTTAATATTTTCGTTAATTTTAGAGGAATCCTCTTAAGGGCATATATAAGAATGAAATCCTCTAAAATTTAAATGATTCCACTCGTTCTGAAATTATTTTTCTTCTTAGGTGTTTCATAGCACATTCTACATATAAAATTTTAATTTGAATAAAAAATCCTAATACGACATATATCGCGGCCATTTTCCGAATTGTAAAGGACGGTTAATCAGTCATCGATATCTTGTAGATGTCGCAAGCTCGGACTAAAATGTGCCGATAGGACAGCCTGTTATTGAAATACTATAGGCCGTACTTTTGAAACGACTTCTCGAATTTTCCACGTAGTTGGAGGTATAATATATGTGTATACACGCACGTCTCTGTCTACAGAGACGCAGTGCGTAAACAAAAGTGTGTGTGGTTGTCCCATAGATCGCGCGACCTTCGCCGCGGCGGCATTCAACGCTCCCGGCTAAGTGCCCGTAAAATCAAAACAATTCCTGACGTGGACGAGTAAACACGCGTGTGTCGCATCGGTCCGTGCGAATTCTGCTTGATTTTCCTCAATCTATTACGATTACGAGCACGAGAGGAATACGAGTCTTTGTTCGCGCGTCGCGATTACCATGGGACGATCAGCGTGAGCAACGATAATATCGGAGAGTAATATTATATTTGCAGGGTAAGCATCACACATTGTATGAAAATGAAGCAAAAATATTATCGAAGCATTGTAATTCTAATCGGAAACGACCAATTTTTGTGTCTCAGGTCTTTTATTTCGAGCGCAACTCACGGCCGAAGTCAACCTAACCTAACCTAACCTAACTTAACCTAGCGCAGGGCGCGGCAGTTTCGGTGGACTACGACGCCGTATCGGAGGATCCGATTCGGGCCGAGCAGAGTCGGCTCGAAGGTAAGTCTCACAATCTCGTTGCATTTCTCTCCCTAACCCCTTCCTGCCGTAAATCGAGATATAATCGTCAGAACGACTCGAATTACGATCGCAGAAGGCTGGTATAATCGCATCTTTATGTCACACTTGTTTGTCAAACTGACTCCTTGAATCTGATTAATCAAATCGTGTTTCTCTTTCATTTTAGAGTTGGTAGTAGAATGCGGCCGATTCTGACTTCAAGGCGTTTTGGTGAGTGAATGAGAAATAATTATAAATATTTAGTGGTGGTTTTTTTTCCTTTCGTCGGGATCAATACAATCTATTACCTGTAGATGTAAGATTTTGCACACACGTGTGTATGCTGTTGGACGAAACGCTCTGCTGCGAGAAAAAATAAGCAGAACACTTTGGAAAAGTCTCGCGAGAAGAAAATTAACGTAACGAATTGTATTTGCAATTGTTTCGCTCGCGAGATAATCGGATCATCAGTTAGTCGTCTTTTTATTGGACTTTTTTACTTGGAATGTCACGAAGTGACGTTATAACGTAACGATTTTACATTCAAATTGATTTAGACAATTTAATCGCGTTGGTTCGTGATTATCTACTAGTATTTTAGCGAACGGAAAAAATATATTACTGCTCGGTTATGATTATAAATAAACTCTGAGGGAAAATATCCTCGCGAGTATAAATAAAAGTTTCTCGTTTTCGTTCATACGCGTCCTTCATAAGGATCGTCGACTTAAATTGGCGTAATTATTATGAAAGTAAGCTTCGCCAAGATATTGCGAAGTAATCTTCGTAGCGAAATTGCGGAGCTGTCTCCGCAGGAGATTGTGCGAAGCCGTCGTGCGTGAGGACGTCACGCTATCCTCGCCACCCTTGCCATCTCCGCCATCCTCGATTACTTCGTCCGCGCGTACCTTTGGCGAATTTCGCGGACGGCACGATCGCTCTTCGGTTCGCGACTTTACGCGCGAGTCACTAATGCGTCCCCGAGGTGCCCGAATTTATCAAGTCGCGGGTGTGTGTGTGTGTGTATGTGTGTATGTGTGTGTGTGTAAAGTGCCGGTATTTATCACGTCATGATAGACATTTATTGAAGGAGCTCGGGGAGAGTTTAATTCCGTTTTTCATTAAAGTCGCAGAAGCCGTTCCGAGATAAATCGACATTTCTAATCCGCTAATTGATCGACGTTGAATCGTAAATATTTCTCGCGTCGCGAGCGCAGTGAGGTACTCAACGTGGGGCAACGTCGTAGAATCTACGACGAGGATTTCTGGGACGTCGGACGACGCAATTGGATATCGGTGAGTTTTACCGTTAATTTTACGTAGTGCATGTTTATTTGTAGATTGTGTTGATCCCCCGCGAAAATGATAGTAATAATTTCTCATAATTAAAATAATTAACTGCTGTTAATATTTATTATTATTATTTATTTATTATCAATAACGGGTCTGAAGCTTTTGGTATATAATAATTAAAACAATAATGTAATAATAATATAATATAGAATAAGAAGATTCTCATAAAAAGGGGGGAAAATTACTAAAAATATTAACCATCCGATATTTTAATGGCATATTCCGGAGCTTAATTAGGAAAACAGGCACCTTAACCTTAACCTTAACAGCCCTGTTTCAGTCCCTGCAAACACGCGCGAAATTTTCACGAATCCTCTAATTAACTCTAACGCATATATCTATGTACGATAATTTTCTGACATATCTAAATCATTTTTCGCAAAATGCTATTTTTCTGCACATGCTTCTGCACATACACTTGCTAATTAACCGGCAAACGCCGGTTAAAATTCACTATTGACTATTTTCAATGATAGCACACGTAACTAAAGGATGCGTGAGAAGACAAGAATTTGCAATATTTCGAATTGTCGCGAAGAGTCTATTATTGGGACAAATATCGCAGCTTCATGATAGAAATCATGCATCTTCGACGCGGCGCAAAGTACGGGCGATAAAGATGTCGATTCCTTCGTAATAAGTTCACGACGAGCGCGCGGAGATGAACCGACTCGACGTCTATATGGATAAAGCTCGGGGAGATATCGCCGGACACATCACTTCGCGACACGTCAGATGAAAATGTTTTAATTCCGCGTTTCCTCGGTGCGATGAACCGATACGCGACGAACGACCATTCCGGTGATCCCATAAAGCCGCAAACTACATCCAATAACTTTCCTGACAGTCGCCCACGGCCATCCGACTGCCTCGTCCCTGTTGACCGTCACGTAGACTTGAGGAAATAGCACCGAGAGCAGGATAGAGAGTGCGTTACAAGAAACACAATATTTGCGACAGTAAATAAAACGCCGGGGAATAATACGGGGACGACGAGCGGTGTCTCTCGAGTCGGACGATTCGTTCGTCACGTCATGAAATTGCGATTTCTTCGTCGGACAGAGATCTATGAGCTTTCCGATCGCGAACGAGTGAATCTGATTAAAAAGCAAAAACACACATTTGAATTTAAGCCGCGTGTGTAGGATAAGTCCGGGATAGATGGGCGTAGGGGATAGTTGGTCAATTGCTATAATTTTGTTAATATATGCCAGGCGTCCGCGCTGATCGGTTACTTATGAGTTGAATGCACCGCGAGTAAGTGTGTCTCTTCCTGATGCACAAAAACACTGTTATTGTGAATAAATAAATGTTTTGTGTTTCTATTGACCTCCAAAATGTTTCACACGTCGGAAAAATACCTTGCGAATGCGGTTCATTTTGAGTTACAACATTAGACCTGGGCTGAAACGACTAAAAAGACATATTTATATAAAGAGATATTTGCGTATTTCACCTCAAAATTCGTTACCGAGACTACGTTTCACATGGTATACGCATTTTTACGCGAACTCTCCAAACGGGTGGATGGTTTATTTTTATCAGGGTCAGATGGGCAGCCCAGCGAGAAATAGCAAACAGTGGACATCGGATCGACGTTTTCTACATGCTTTAGACGTATAAAAGACATCGATCCAATATCTATTCGACTATCATTTTTCTCCGGATATACCTAACATTAAAAACTTCAGTATATTTTAAACAGCTTCTCGTTTCGTTTAAAAATGCCGAGTAGATTTCTTTCTCTTTTCTCTCTTTAACAAACAATGTTCTCCCATAGGGCCTTTTTCTGTGTGTTGACACTTTTCAACCTTCTCTCCGATGTTGTCCTTGGTTTCTATAAGAAACTTGTAGAAATGTTTTATTTTATTGACAATTAATAAAAGGATTAATAAAAAGGTTAATAATTAATAAAAGGATGTAAAATGTTAAAAAACTAAATGAAGATAAACAAATTTCTACATTATTATAGGCGGGCCCAACTATCCTTTCACATATAACCATCTAACCGGGACACCTAACCATCATCTATTCCTCACAGGATAGTTTTTAATATTTCGTTATTATTGGCGTTCCATGAATTTTTTTTTTTTTTTTACAAAAATTCTTCTATACCGTAAACATTATCCTCTACTGAGTGTGTTAATATATTGTTGATTATTTATCGCAACAAATGTGTTATTTTCAAGTAAAGAAAACTGTGCCCATCTATCCCGGACTTACCCTATCTAGAGAACGCCGAGGAATCCCGCGATTTCGAGCGAAACGAGCGAGAGACACGAATTCGCGGCCGCCTTTTATCGCCTCCAGAGCGAGTGGTCATTCGGAATGCAACAAATGCGGCGAATCGAACGACGCGGCCGCCGCGGGCATGTTATTCAAGCCGTCATAAAGACGCGTCGTTTTACTCTCCTGCGCGCACTGCGAGGACACTTTGCGGTCGAGGTGATTGCATCGAGCAATTGTCCACTGATAGAAAAATATAGTTGAATTAATTTATACATTCTCACTATATTTTACAGTTCATTTTGGCGTCAATCATATTTTTATAGTGGAACCTGCAAAATATAGTAGAATAAACATAAATATATAGTCAATGATTGTCTTAAATAATTGTTTAGTTACTTTTACCACATATATGGTAATTTCTCATTCACAAATATAGTGAGATTTAATATTCATATAGTTACATCTGTCATCATTTAGCAAATATTCTGGTAATATTGACTATATAAAAGAGTTACTTTACCTACCATTTTATATTTGTATCCATACAATAATTTTAGTTTAACTTATTATAATTCTTAGTAAAAATATTATATGATTGGTTATACTATGCCTATATCGTAATTATTACCGATATTATGGTAATACTTACTAATAAATATGATATTTCGGACTATAATTTAGTTACTATATCATTATAGTTCCAAATATCATATACTTTTCTCTCTCAGTGTGAGCGAGCTCAATGTTTCCTCTCGCGAGGCCCGCCGCGCCGTGCGATTTGCGCGATCGCGTGCGACGCGTGTTTTTTCCGCCGCGGCGTGTTATCATTGAATGATCGCGCGGTAAGACGGCATCAGCGGCGTGTAGTTATCGGACGGACGTATCACGAATTCAATACCATAAGTTCACGGGCCCGAGACCATCGGAGACCATAAGTTCCGACTCTAATACTTTCGCAGGTCCGCGAGAGAATGTCCGTTCGAATCTCCTCACTCTCCGTCGCACTGCGACCTCGACTTTCTTAGCTCCCTCGGAGGGACCTCGGTGTAGACCTCTATCTATCTACTTATTACAAAAAAGATATTACTGTATTTTTGATGCGACGTACGCGGGTGTGTGTATTTCTCTCGTCTCTGTTTCTTCCCCCTTTTCCGGAAAACGAGAAGAAAATAGAAATTTCCTCCTCCTTCGTTCGTACACGCGCGTGCGCGGAACGCTGCGGCGCTCTCGTTAAAACTTTAAAGACATCGATTTCTGACACCGCTGGAAATTGAAGTCGGAGTGCATTCTCGAGTGGCCAACTGGCGGCGCGCTGGAAAGCCGGGAAAGCAGCCGGCAACAGAGTAACCGTTCGATATCGCGGCGTTACGTGCGCGATTGCGGGGTGGGGAAGCTCTCCGCGGCTACGCGATACCGTATTAAAGTAATGGCGCGGGGCGTTATTACGTCATAATAGTACGGCGATTATTTCGAGTGGCACCGCCGCGCCGCGCCGGGCGCCAAGAAACGGCGACCCGATACTCGCGCTCTCTCAGCCAGCCGACGCAGCTGCTGCAGATCCATTTACTCGCGCAATGCGTGGAAAAGCCGCGCGAATTAACGAGAAGAGAGGCCGCCGGCGCGCGTCTTCCGCTCCGACTTGGAGATGAC